TGGCTGTCCAACTCCCATACCAAATCAGGGTAGGATCTCAGAAGCTCAGCTAAGAAATCGAAGTTTCCAACTTTTGTAGCATCAAATAATAGTCGGGATGGCTCATTTATGATCTTTCTTATATCTTGCTCTGAGTTTACAAGCTTGAGAATTCCTAGCCAGAGGGAATGAACAAGTTGAAGAGCAACACCGTTTTTCATCCCTAGGATACATGATGATTTGACTAAGTTAATGTTAAGCAATATGTTGGGGCAGTCTGTGATTTTAGCCATAAGGTACGAACTAAATGTAATGATTATTAGAAAAACAAATTGATACATATAGCAAGTGTAAAGACTAATTTTCTAGTCTTCGTCACAAGTAATTACAGTGGCTAATTATTACCTGAACTTATTAGTTTATTCTGATGTCCTAGACTATGATGACCCGAATCTGTTGTCTTCTGAGCCATGATATGCAAACCCGTCAAACCTCGTTCATTTGTTGCTAATGCAAGGTCTGGCTTATCTCTCAACATTTTCAACGCTAAATCTAAGAAATTTCAGAATGTAGTCAAGAAACGCATACATAGATACCAAAAATAGATGCTGTCACACAAAGTAATAAGCAATATAGAGCTATATATATATATATATATCAAGCTAAGAAACTTTGCAGAACAGGTTTTGTATTATATATTTAGTATGCATCAAATATGAACTTACCATAAATACCAGTGTCGATGCAAGTGAGGAATAACTTATTCCACTCTGCTTCATCGAAGGTTTCGATAGTGTTAGGATATAAATACCATGCCACATCAGCTCTTCCTTGCTGTGCAGCAAAAAGAAGAGGGGTGAAACCATTTCCACCTCTAATTTTTGGCAACAAGGGGTTCTTTTCCCACATTAACTTAACAATATCCAAGCTTCCTGCTGCTGCAGCAAAGCAGAAGGCAGTGTTTCCCCTAGAGTCTTGTAAATCCAAGTCATTCTCGTCCATCAAGTTCACAAGCTCCTTCGCAAAGTGAAAATGGCCAGCTCCTGCTGCTACATGAAGTGCTGTTGGATACCCTTTTGCTATAGCAGCATTCACTAGCATTCTGTTATGATCTAACAGCATGGGCTTGGCTTTCTCCCAATTGCCTTCTAATGCATATTTGTAAAGAGGTACGCATAAGTTTATGTAGTTGAATCTGGCCTCCCCTGAAACAAAGTTGAAATGTTTCGGTTTTTTGGGTGATCAGCTCTAACTTGAGTGAGGTAGAAGAGTAATTAATCTTTCATAGATTTCTAACCCTCATGGCGTATCTGATCTGTTGGAATAACAAGTTTTTTATTAAACTAAAAGTTTGGATGATGAGTTAAGTTTTGAGAGTTCACCAAGAACATAACAAGCCTCACTGTTCAAAAAGTAATGACAAATTACTTACCACCAAGATCCTAATTTTAGATATAAGACTTGAAACCAAGAGGTCATGCGATATGAGCCAACAAGTATTAATAAATATACAAGTCTGTATTTGATATTGGAACAACGTTTGTTCACAATTAGGGGGAGAAAGTAATTTTCAAAAAGAAAAAAAAACACCAACAATGGGAAAAATAGTAAAGAAATTACTTCATTTTGTCCTAATTAAGTCTTGCAATTTTGAAGAAAGAAGCCCATATTCATCAGTGACCAGCCACCTAACTATATATGGAATTACATGCATTTATGTTTTATTAGGTGAGAGGATTCCATCATTTCCTCACCACAATTGAATCAAAATTTGGAAAAATTAACAGGAACCACAAATAAGTGAACACATCAGTTTTTTTTTTAAAAAATTTACTTGTATCCTCCAAAAGATGAAGGGAAGGCCTCCTAAAATTAGCTGAATCAACCCTCTGTATAAATTGGATGTGATTAGGCCCTTCAGGAGTATCCATTGGATGTTCATTTGGCGCATCCATTTATCTGCAAAACCATACACATTAACACTCCCCCAGCTTTCTATGCATTTGCATTGATTTCTGCATTTTCTGGTTTAGTTTTTCTACCAACAATTGTGGGTCACGAGGCTGGCACATTCATATCGAATCCAAGAAGAATTGTACTGTTCATTATTTATAAATATTTCGTGATCATAACTTTGCATATTCTCTATATATTTTGTACAAAGCTCGAGATAAGTTATACTGTTTTGTTTATGGCTTATCAACTTCTAAAGATATATGACATCGATATATAATAAAAATATAAAGAAACAAAGCACTTTCGCACTCTATAGATATTTTACATATTTCTCATGAATGATGATTGTCATGGAAGAGACTATTCTCAAGATTATGATTAACTAAATGCTTATGTTTCCATTGATATAAAATGTGCTTATATTAAAACTTATGATAATTAGTATGAGAAATAATGTTATCTTTTAAAATTCTAAATGAGTTAATAAAGGAAACGGGACACAATTGCATTCACAGTTCGTAGACACTATGGTACGGATGTTGGGATGAATTATTCAATTATTGATGATGAAAAATTAATTAATTGTGTTGACGTTGAAATTAAGCAGTTTCAAGGAAGCAGCTTTGGTCCCACTGATACCTTCCGCAACCATTCGTTTTTATGGTTGAGCATTATTCTATCTTATTGGTGGAGACATCTCATCCTCCAAAATACTAATTTCATCTGCAAATGCTCTTTATCAAATTGTTCCATGAATATATATATATATATATATATATATTTGTTATATTCCAAACATAAGAGTTAAATAATTAATTTTTAATTTTCTTAAAATATCTCCTTTAATCCTTTTTTCCCAACAAAATATCACCTTTCATCATTTGCATTAGAAACAATCTCTGTTGATGAAACTTCCTTTAGAGATAGACTATGGGGAAAAATTATAAATTTGACGGACAAAGTAAATTAAAGTCTTATATTTAAAATTAAAGTAAATATTTCCACTAACTTATACATTTAGGAGTACAGGAAGTATTACATATAAACTTAAAAATTCTAAATAATTTAACCATCAAGTATTAATAAATCATGTATTTCTTTGAATTAAAAAAAATCTGCATAATCTGGCAAAAAATTATACCTGGTTGTCGATGGAAAGAGGAAATCTTCCTCTTATGGCACTTGCCTATGAAAAACCAGCTTCTTTAATCAAACAGTTAGTTTCCTGGGGGGAAAAATTGAATATCAACGAATCTTGGATTGTATGCATAGAAAATAAGATTTCAATGATTTGAATCATATTTGAACAGAGGAGTTGGCGCCATCCTTAATGAAATTATAAGGGTAAACCAGAAAGAATAGTAGAATCAATGAAATAATGAAAACATTAACTGAGGAATACGCAGACGCACCAATCACAGAAGAAGAAGAAGATGAAGCAACATCTGTAAATGAAGGATATAGAGAAAGAAGACGGTTAAAAAGAGGTCTTATTTTACCTTATGGAATCGCTTTATTTGTTCTTTTCTTGTAGAGTGAGATAAAATTACTGTAAGGTTGCTTCTGCAAAACAAGCCTGGGGATTCTGTGGGGTTGAAAGCCATTACTGAACCAAGAAATACAGTGATGTGAGAGAACTTGCGAGGGAAGTTCTTCTTCGTCAACGTGGGATCCGGATGGATCCGGATCTTCTCAGGGGCCATTTTCTCCTTTTCCCTCAGAAGCTTAATATCCTACCCGTCCAGTTGATCTGACGGCCTGCATAAAGATATCTCATGAAGCTGTTTAGAATCGCATCTGAACCATCCATCTTCATATAATCTGGTCGTTCATTTAATTGCATATTCTGCAAGATCCCTTTAGGGTTCAGAGGGCCATTTTCCGTCGAAGTTCCACCCCCAGGCAATGCAGACAGGAAGCTCCGCCGTCCCGCACCCATCGTTGGAAAATATGAGAGAATCTCCATAGCTTTGCCGAAAGTAGTTTATTCAGATGCCTACATTACATCTCTTCCTCCATATCTTTCCCCTTCTTTTCCATCTCTCTCTTCCTCATTCTTGATGGTTTGAATGCCCAAGTAAGCAGAGGTTCTTTCCAGAAAATTAGCAATGTTATTGCATTTAAATTAGAATCTTTTGTATGCTACTGTTCAAATCTAAGATGACCTGTGCTGCTATAGGCGTATAAGCTAAGCAATTGTGCTAAGATTCTTTAAAGCATCATGTTTGTTCTAATTTTCACATTGAGTTTCTTTTTGGTTTGCATCGTATGATAATTTCATGGAACTATTATATTCTTCATTTATTTCCCCCCATGATAAGCCATGCTGGCTTTGTATTGGAGAACTTATATTCCAAACGAAGTTTGCAAAATTTCAATGATGTCGATGGGTTGAAATTATTTGACTGGATTAGCATTATTTCATTGCTTTACTCTGTTTCCGTGGATATTTCTATATTTATTGAATCAAGTTATTTGGCACTTTATTGGATATCTTCTACTCCCTCCGTTCCTTATTATAAGAGACGAATAACCGAAGTACGTTGATAAAAAAAACAGTTAGAATTAGTTAAGAACAATCAATGTGTAAAAAATATATTTTTTTTCCAGAAATACCCTCATTAATAAGGAGAGATAGCATGAGAGAGAACAATTAAATTATTAAAAGAAAGAGAAGTGGGAAGGAGAGAGAGTGTGTGAGTTGGAGATAATAAATATAAGTAAAATAAGAAATCAATACAAAAAAGTAGAGATAACTTTTAAGTGTCTCTTATATATAGGAACATGCTATAAGTATCAAATGTCTCTTATAATAAGGAACGGAGGGAGTATCTCTCTTTCATAATTGTTTTGGAAAATAGAGAGAAGATGTGCAGTGCTCAATTAAAAGCATGATAGCAGAGTAAATTAGTCAAGGATTGTTTAATTTCTTCCTCTATAAATATGGAATGAGATTTATCTTGCTAATAAATAGCATTGTACAGCCTGATTTAACAAAAAAGGTTCAGCTTATGATAACTCATAGGAGTTTAAATCTATTTGAGAACAATAAGATGCCTGTAAAGTAACAAATAAAGAGACTATATATATATTTTTCAAACTCTTTGCCTGCAACAGCATTACATGAAACATTGCTCGAGAGCAAACTACATATACACAAGACAGTTTTGTTGTATGAAATATATTGCATTACAACTTTTTTATGACCACATACTAACATCTACATTGCTCTTCTTTAATTTCTTCCTTCTTGTTTGGTGAAGGTGCATCTTCAATAACAACTTCAACAATGTCTAATCAATTCCTAGCAGGTGAAGGTCCAGAAGGTCCATCTTCTATAGCCTCAACAATATTTAGTCAACATGAGAGATAATATAGCTACCGCCTGCAATAAAAATTCAAATTCCAGCACTTCAGTCATTCAATCCACCGACTTGTATTTTGTATGACATGACAGCAACTTGTATTTTCTTTCATAGGACAACAAATTCTGTTTTGTCCCTTATGACAGCTAGTTCAACATGTGTCAAGTTCTATTTCATTAAATACGGAAGAGAAAGTTATGTTTTGTTCAATTGGTCATTTCCAAAGGTAGCTTTTGCAGCAAACTTGGTCTCCTAACTTGTTTAGGAGATGTGTAAATCATTATTATTTGGAATCAGTCTATCTATACCTAATGTAACTTTGTCCAGTGACAATCTCACAAAAGCTCTCATGGCGGAACACTCTATGGTCTAAAAAAAGATTTACTCTGCAACTCTTAAAAGAACTTAAAAAAGCAGTAAGCAATAAAAACTTCAGACTCACTCCTCTCCAACATCTCTGAGTATGTTGGTTAACTGGCTTGCAATTCCTAGTCTCTTCGATCATATCTTTAAATGGCTGCATGAACTAGAACAGAAGGTATTGAAGGTGCACAAAATTTGTGGAAGCCAAAGTTGTGGATGGATGATTATTGTTATCTGTAGATTACACTCACTGCCAATATATTGACTTTAACTGATTGTACATAGAAAACTGGAGAAAATCATGATACGCCAACTAACAACTCAACTAGAAGGTCAGAATAACATCTCATTTGATTTTGTTGAAAAACAGAGAAATCATGTCTGCAGGAGTATAGAGATACAAACAAAACCAGAAGATCTCCTTTCACCAAAATTATTAAAAAAAAATGGATAATTCACCAACATAATTGTTCCATCTAAACTAAAAGTGACAACTTCCCTGATCTTAAGATCGAGACAAACTTCCGAACGTAATAGTTGCAACAAAAAGAAAAATGCAGATTTCCAGAAGTTTGCAAGCTATTCCCAAACAAAACTTGTTAAAGATACATTCCGACTAAAGGTGCATATTAAAATAATCAGTCGGAAATTAAAAAAAATTGTAAATCAGAGGGATGAAAAAATTTACTGTCTTCAGGCCCGTGGAGATGCATATAAAACTCCCACATGCCATCATTAATCATCTCCACCCTGTAATCGCTCATCCTCCTGATTTAATTAATCCACCCAAAAAAATTCGAATAAGAACTTCAAATTAATTAAATGGAAGGGGAAAAGGAAGAACAAGAAAAAGCATAGTTCAAAAAGGGATGGAGGAATAGTTGCGGCAAAGATATGGAGGAAGAGTTGTAATGAAGATACCTGACCAAATAAGCTACTCTCAACAAATTCTCTCATAGTGCCCGACCGTGGGTGACGACAGAGCTCCTGTTTGCACCGCCGATGGACATGGAACTTCACAAGAAACTGGAGTGTATTCGTGAAAGAAAGCTACAGGGATTTGGCGGAATATGAAATTGAATGTGCGGCCAGGATCATAACAAGACGAATGGCTTAGATGTGATTTTGAATGCTTTATGACGTGTCTCTTGGTGAGCATTCGGATGAAGTGGACGGTCAAGAATTGGAGATTCTGAGAGATGAGGAGAAAATGGCCGCTGAGAGGATCTGTTCCCCACTCCTAAGAAGAGTGGATCCCCACTGGCGTGCCGTCTAAAATTAATATTCAATTGGAAAAAATATATATATATTTTATATTAAGATGAAATAAATTAATACTCCCCTTATGGAATTAATTAAAACCTCGTGAATGAAAACAGCGGGAGGAGAGAGACTATACGACCAGATAATGATTCAGAAGCTGGAACTTACTTTTGAGACTCTCTCTAACTTATCAACATGACCGGGAAGAATGAAGAAGAAGAGGATAGGATAGTAAATTTACGTGTGGATCCTGTGTGTGGGCAAGCACAAGCAACCACTCCTCTGTCTCTCTGGTAATTCAACCTCGAACGAGCTCGCTATCTAATTCCCGCCTGATTCTAAACACAAACACACAGATTCATCAAACTTCAAAACATTACCATCACTCTAGAATCTCTCTCTCTCTCTCTCTGTGAAACGTACAAACTAGCCAACGCATCAGAGAGAAATTGCAAGGAGTCAACACTGAAAGCAAGTTCAGAAAAACTGCAGGGTTTTCGATCATTCACTTCTTCTCATTGGACTGAGTTAAAATAATAACAGTAACAAGAGAGAAACAAGAAGCTTGGTTATTTCCAGAGAGAGAGATGGTAAGAAGACGATATGAAAGAGAGAGAGAGAGAGAGAGATTGGAATAAATTACCTGAAAGTAGAGCAGTGGTGATGGATCTGAAGGCCGTCTGGTTCAACTCTAACAATCAAAGAAGGTGGAAGGAAGCAAATAAAAGAATCAATTACCAAAGAGACTGCAGAAACCAGCCCATCAACTCTGTAAAGTCCTGCCACTATGTGTTAAGTTATTAGAGTACGGCCACGGTCATTTGGCTTTATTGCTTATTTCCCTCTAATAACAACTTTTATGAAGAACAATATTAAATGTCTCTTCTTTTTATTATTAAACCACACAGCATGCATCCTGATCCGTCTTACTTCTAACTAATTGGAGTTCAATCTAATTCGGATTGATGGAGTGTTTGGGATGCCCAAAATCACCTTTAAAAAAAAAATATTTTCATAGAAATCCAATCGAACTCCTCTCATATTTTCATTTTGTATATTATAAAATTATTTTTAAAATCATGATATAATTTCCATCTAACTATTTTTTAGTTGAATAATATCATTTGGGTAACAAAACTCCCTCTTCAAATATTTATCCTAATATATTGGTGGCTATTAACACACAAGAGATAGCTTTTTGGGTATAAAAAAAAAATAACACTACCTCTAGTTCTGTTTATAAGATCTCATTCGTAGTCGATAAATGAGGTTATAATTAAGATCAAAAATAGTACAATTTACAATATAAAACAAATCTTATATTAGGAAGGAAGAACTAATAAAAACTAAATCCTTCCACCAAACGTAGAAGAGATGGAAGTGAGATGCCGCGAAACTTTGTACTCGTGTTAGTACTTGTGTTAATGAATGGACTTCAGTTTTCATGCAAAAAAAAAAAAAAATGCAGCGAAGCTTCAGAAAAAAGCATGGGAAACGACAAATGTGGCAGGGGCTGCTTTCGCTCTCCTCAGTCGACCTTCGTGGAAAAGGATACCATCAGCGTCCTCTTCCCTCACCGTCCAAATCCCAGCCGTGGAAATTAATCGAACAGATCATATTGTGCCACGTGATGATGCTATTGAAAATTAGAAATAAATCTTCATCATAGCATAAAATTTTAGGAAAATTGGGATAAATCCTCATTAAAAATTTAATTGACAAATGAGAGACTTTGTATAACTTAACTTTTATTGTGTGCAACTTCATTTCTTTATGTGTCATTTATCTTTCCATAGCTTGTGTGCAATGATTTTTCTTTGTACCATGTGTAACTCAATTTTTCTTTATACAAGTGAAAAACCTTTATGTGCAAGTTATCTTTCCTATATTCAAATTGATTCCTTATATTCAAATAATGTTCTGTGCAAATTATCTTTTTTTTTGTATAATTTACTTTCCTTTGTGTGTAACTAATCTTCCCTTATACAATCAATCATTCTAAATCCTATTTGCCAGCTTTGAACTAAGATTATTCTAGCATGAAATATCCAGTTTTTCTAATCTGCTTCATTTTAACTAGAGGATTTATGAGAAGTCCAAACTCCAGACTCACCGAGATGACCATAAAAGATGAAAAAGCTTAATCACAAAATATTTATATATAATTTTTTGGATTTACTTCAGTTCAATTTAATAGAGGTCGAGTTAGACAGGACATAAAGAGTTGCAAAACCATATCAAGTATTTTATTTTTATTTTTAGTTTTTAATTAAAATACCTGATAGCAGAACTTTGCCTCTCTGTATGGCTCTATTTGACTCAATTTATATTAGCTGGACTCCTAATAAGCGTTACAGTTCAAATAAGGAGATTCAAAAAATTAGGTGTTTCACTTTGAAATTTTTTTTAAAAAAAATAGTTCAATGCTACTAAAAAATTTTATAGTATCAGTTAGACTTATATTTAATTTTTAATAGGAGGATGATGTGGTATATTATGAGCTCTCAAATTAATCTGATGGGTTATATTAGGATGCTCAGAGAAGCTGAGGGATACCGCCACTGAGAGTGCGGAACTTTGTTCTTTGGGAAAATTTCATTTCAGGACTACTGTAGCCAATTAGTATCAGTAAACCCCCAACAGATTCTGAAATATTACTGCAGGACCAAGGGACCAAGCTGAAATTAAATTTAAGAATGAAATTACAATAATACCCTTCACTTTTATTTTTTAAAAAAAATAAATATTAATGGTTACTGTAGTTCTGGCCACCACCAAAGGTAGGAGGTCGGAGGTCGGGCCACTAGCGCTTAGGTGGCCGCTGCTGAAAGTTGGACCTCCGATGGCTGCTATTGTAGCTCTGATGATTGAAAGTTTTTTTTCCCCCAATAAAACAAAATGGCTAAAGGAGAGCTTGAACCAATAACCCCTTAGCACACTAAAAACAAGATAACCAACAAGCCAAGCAAATCATTTAATTATATGGTGCAAATAAAAATATATATAACAAAACAAACGCAAGTGTCCAGTGAATAAGTGAAATTCGAAAATTTACAAGTAAAATTCAGAAATTTACAACAAAAATTTAACAATTTACAAATAACATAATAGAATTCATAACTCCAAATACAAGTCTTTAAGTGTAAATGAGCAACTAAAATTTGAAGATTTATAACAAAAGTTTATATATTTACAAGTGAAATTCGACAACTTTAAATCCATAAACTTTTGTTGTAAATCTTTAAATTTCACTTGCTCATTTGCACTTAAACACTTGTATTTGGGATTGTGAATTCCATTATGTTATTTGTCAATTGCTAAATTTTTGTTATAAATTATTGAATTTTACTTGTAAATTGTTGAATTTCACTTGATCACTTACTCTCAAACACTTACATTTTTTATTGTGAATTCTCGTATTTCTTGTGAATAGCCAAATTTGGGTTGTAAATCCATAAAATTTTGTTATAAATCTTCAAATTTCACTTACTCATTTGCATTTAAACACTTGTATTTAGAGTTGTGAATTCCATTATGTTATTTGTAAATTGCCGAATTTCACTTGTTCACTTATATTCAAACTCATATTTTGGGTTGTGAATTCTCTTGTATTTTTTGTGAATACCCAATTTCGAACTGTAAATCCATAAACTTTTCTTATAAATCTTTAAATTTCACTTGCTCATTTGCATTTAAACATTTGCATTTGGAATTGTGAATTCCATTATGTTATTTGTAAAGTGTCAAATTTTTATTGTAAATTACTGAATTTCACTTATAAATTGTCGAATTTCACTTGTTCACTTACTCTCAAATACTTACATTTTAGGTTGTGAATTCTCGTATTTCTTGTGAATAGCCAAATTTGGGTTGTAAATCCATAAAATTTTGTTATAAATCTTCAAATTTCACTTACTCATTTGCATTTAAACACTTGTATTTAGAGTTGTGAATTCCATTATGTTATTTGTAAATTGCCGAATTTCACTTGTTCACTTATATTCAAACTCATATTTTGAGTTGTGAATTCTCTTGTATTTTTTGTGAATACCCAATTTCGAACTGTAAATCCATAAACTTTTCTTGTAAATCTTTAAATTTCACTTGCTCATTTGCATTTAAACATTTGCATTTGGAATTGTGAATTCCATTATGTTATTTGTAAAGTGTCAAATTTTTATTGTAAATTACTGAATTTCACTTATAAATTGTCGAATTTCACTTGTTCACTTACTCTCAAATACTTACATTTTAGGTTGTGAATTCTCGTGTTTCTTGTGAATACCCAAATTTGGGTTGTAAATCCATAAAATTTTGTTGTAAATCTTCAAATTTCATTTACTCATTTGCATTTAAACACTTGTATCTAGAGTTGTGAATTTCATTATATTATTTGTAAATTGCCAAATTTCACTTGTAAATTATTGAATTTCACTTGTAAATTGTCGAATTTCACTTGTTTACTTACATTCAAACTCACATTTTAGATTGTGAATTCTCTTGTGTTTCTTCTGAATATCCAAATTTGGATTGTAAATCCATAAAATTTTGTTGTAAATCTTCAAATTTCACTTGCTTATTTACACTTAAACACTTACATTTGGTGTTATGAATTCCATTATGTTATTTGTAAATTGTGAAATTTTTGTTGTTAATTGTCGAATTTCACTTGTAAATTGTTGAATTTCACAGTTCATTTATACTTAGATACTTGCGTTTGTTTTGTTATATATATATTTTCATTTGCACCAC